GTGCAATGAATTTAATTTCGCGACATAATCATAATTGGCATCACTGAAGAGTCCCAGTTCAGTTCAGTTCTTCCAACCATTAACCATGCGCTTTCGTGCGCCGGTTTTGGTTATCCATTTGGATAAAACAGCAGAATGAAGATTGGAATGTTGAGAGCAAATTGAAGCTGAAGCCCCAAAATACGTAAAACAGTTGTCAAGTGCTCTTTGTTTAGCATCAAGCAAAATTCCACCGAATCTGAAAATGCATCGACGTGCAGGATATCCATGATATCCCAAAAAGTGAGACCCATCTGTAAACAGCACGAGAAAACGAAAAATGGTCATAGCGTACGCGTGTTCTATACTTTGTTCTCAGACGTGAACATGACTGCCGAATACCTTCTCGCTACCACGCCCTCACTCTCGGTAGTGATGGATACATCGATGTGTTAGTCCAGCATGCGAAAACGTTGTTCAAACAACATTTATTTCTCGTTCGCGGACTTTAATTCATATTATTTTTCTTTCGCCCAAGGTGTTTCAATATCAGTCTCGTTTGGTAAGTTTGAGCTGTCAAGCATGAATTGAATTGTGATTCAGGTATTCTTGTTCCATCGGATTGTTCACCATAAACGTTCCTTGATATCAAAAACATCCACTTCAACCACTATCATTCCATACTAAAATCGCACGACCACGTGACACATTGGTTATCGATCACACCCCTCATCGGCCTCGTTTCTAGCCACTTGCGTGATCCAGAACGGCAAGCGCAACGCTTCAATTGATCGAGTTCACCATGACATGATTTGTTTATGTTGTACATTTGGGTTATAGGGCACGTACGCAGAGTGGACGATTTCTGATGAAACTTGAACGATGGGTACTTTGTTTGAAGGAATCCCATCCAAATAAGTAATCGGCGAATAAGTAAAATCCCACACCCACGCATGCATTGCGTGTATGTCGTCAAACATTGGTCAAGGTAGGAAATGAAAAGAGGGCGTTCGAAAGTTAGAAAATAGAAGCAAACTTCGAATGAAGAAGCATTATAAACGAAAAAAAAGCAGACACTTGATTGGTAGATTTCATGTCTGGGTGATCCCAATGTAGCTCAATTGAGAGAGCGTAGGCGGCGCCGATGTGTGGATTCAAATTCCATCGAGGACGCTGATATTTTCACGATTCAAACAATAGACTTATTTCTCCATTCATTATGAAAACAGCGTAATCTGAACAAATAATTTGTGACAAAATAAATTGTTGCGCGATTAAAGCTCCGTGCGGTGATACCTCGAAGACCGTTATGCATTACACCAATTGTTTTGTCGAACGTGGGTCCCAGTTAATGGTGGTATGTTGTTATATCATTCTAAGACAGACTATTCCAACAAACTGTTTCTGAGCGTATAGAGAACAAAGGATATTTTGATCGAAAAGGAAATCCATTCGACATATGAGAAAGAAAAGAGCTCATCAGGGAGAGGAAATTATACCCAGGGCCGTTTAATAGTGCCTGTAGAGATTCGAATGGACTTAGTCAAACAGTATCCTGAAGACAGCGAATATAAAGTAAATGCATGAGGAGTAATAATGCACGAGGAGCGCTGGTTACATACAGCCTTAGTCACTAGTTAGGTCAGTACTGAAGACCCCAACCGTGGAGTCGGTATTGCAAGTGGTCATACCTTCAAGTACCGAACGGTCTGACCACCAGGGTATTTTTCCAACCACCACCTTCTAGTAGTATACGCGTCATGTGTGACAGTTGCTGTAATCATGCACTTACAACCGTGCGTAACCATAACTTTCCGCTAAACAGCGTCTAGACCAGCAGTGTTTATCTGTCTACCCCACCGGAATATTGAAATAATGCTTAAATCGTAGTACTAGGAGGGTTATCATTTCTGTTTCTCTTAGAGCGATGTTCAAGCTGTTTAATCGGCAGTCATTAGCATATTTCGGGCTTCATTATCCGAGGTTCAAACCCTTTCACATTTTTACTCAATTCTGATGGTTGATAGCTTCAATGCCGAAGAGCTTCCTGCCACATTATTTCTATTGCTCCCTTATGTGATTAGTCACTCCGGGTCACGGGGAAATTATTCTGGTTCGCAAAAATTGAACACCAGACCCTCATGATCACATAGCTCACAACACACAAATGGACGCAAAAGAAAACTTTTGTGTTGCCGAAACAGCCACCTAGTGTCCGCCCGCCTCGAGTCTGCGAATCACCCTGGTGGATCACATGGCTATAAGCCACAAATGACGGAGTTGCATAGAAGATCGCCGACTGCATCGGAGCGATATCCAGGAATCTCGATATGTACTAGCTTACACTAAGCGGATCCTGTGCTTCTGTGGGCATTTGTACCGGATGACAGTGACAAGCTGTTTCAACAAGTTTGTCTAACCGCCCTTCAAGGCGCATCAGCTGAAAAGCTAGAACTGATATCACCTGATAAAACCAATCGCTTATATGGATTGTTCTGCAATCGGTTTGCCTGAAGTGCCGTAAAGTGACACCCTAGATTTCCGCAGAGTCTCTGTGCCTTTTTGATGCACGCTAATCAATCCCAACCGGCGGCAGGTATAAGGAAACGTGATGTAAACTCAACGTAGGCCTGCACAGACTAGGAGATTAGGTGGACTCAACGTGTACAGCAGACAGAACACACTGCCACAGTGAGAAATTCACGTAACCTGTAGGCGCCAATCACAGGGGTGTAAGCTTGATTCCAATAGCGTCAACGCTGGTAACACCCACCATTCTGTGCAGACGGTACACTACGCGTGAAGAGAAGCCCCGTAAGGAGTTAGCTGGGTTTTCGAAATATCGACAATTGCTAGAGCACCGTCAAGCTTTCCAGAGGTCGAAGATTAGATAGTGTCGAGATGAGCTAGGTGCGATGCCTGCGACAAACTCGCAAAGATGGGTCATGCTATATCGTGTAAAGGCAAGATGACAAACGGTTTAATCAACTGCTCGGTGGTTGAATGTTTAGTATGTTTAAGGTCTACCTATGAGGTTCCATCCTCAAATGGGTCGATGTATTCACATTGTTAATAAGATCCTAAGCAGGATGCAGCAGATGTACACTGCTTTCTGGCTTTTCAGTTCACGCCTCATTTGCTCTGTACTCGACGACCTCCACGATATGACCAGTTTTCTTAGACATCCACAGAAATGCAAGGTGAAGCTGTTTGTTGAAAACAAGATTGCCTGAAAATTTCGTTGCGAAAACCAAAGAGTAGCGCAGTGGTTTATGTCACCTGCGTGCTTTTGAACCTGTAGTATGACGTTCGAGCACCGCCGCCGCCACCCAACTTTGGTGGTAGGCAGTTTTCCTGTCGTCCGGCACAATACCACGCCTAATATAGCGGGGCCTTATGTGGTTAGCCACTCCAAGTCCCGGGGCTTAGGCTACCGGTTTGCATCATCAAACAGCAAGCATCGTGACTATGCGGTTCTACCCCGACTGTTGTTCATCACACAAGTGTGTGTAATAAAAAAATACCGCAGGCCACTCTTCACTGTTTCCAGTGGAAAACGAAAAAACCGTTCGTACTCTCCCTTTCCTTTTTAAATTTGTCGCGTACATTCTAGAGAATTATTTGTCTCGTTTAGCACACAGAGTTAGTCACCCTATAACATAGTTATGGTTTAGGTTGCTTTTTATAACATTATTGTGTGATGAAAAGCAAACGGGGTGAACGCCATAATCACGAGGACCTGATGTCCATTCATGAAATCTGACAAACCAAGCCCCGAGACTTGGATTGGAGAACCACATCAGGCCCCATTAGATTGAGCGTAGACGACTGCAGAGCTGCCTTGACACCAACCCCGCGTTACAGGTTGGGGCCCAAGGGATGAAGATTGCTGTTGGTTAGAAACATTCGGAGATAAAACCCAGAACCGAAGTGGTCCGAATGTTACACGGTCCTTTTTCAATGGAACTCCCGCTGGACTTCACTTTCCGAAGCTAACTGGATTCAGATTATCATTCTTTAATGAAAGCTGCTGAACAGGATCATTGGAATCCTGAACATCCATGCACACTGGCTTCCTTTTTGCTTTGATTCGTCTATAGGAAACGTATTTCGTTTGAAGAATACCTTCGTATTGTCTTGCTTACCGTCTCACTTTACATCCTCCTAAGCAAATATGGGGGGGGAGCGAATACAATTTTCATTCGCCCTAAAAGCGAGTACTAACCAATGATTCATAAAAACTGTCATCCAATCTCGCTTGTATTTTATTTTGTATCCTGTGAAAAAAGCGTTCCAACAGTGAAATATACGGGCAACTATGTACTAGAAAGCCATGCACACAGAAACCGGTGAGTCCGGCAATCACGTCACACACACACAAACACGAGTGGCTGAGCACTACTGAGCGACATTGGGGCAAAATGGAACACCGTCGAGTCCTCGAAACCGATGAAAGACTTGCGTCCAGTGGAATAAATCAAATCCATTTAAACACTGCTTGGTGGATTGCATGTGAGGCGGATAAAGTGACTGGAATAGATCATGTTTGTAGGCAATAAGAAAGAAACCATCCATGATATTGACTCTACCCGATTCGCATACACAGAAGTATGTTAGCAACAGGCGGCTAGGTACAAATAAAAGTGCGATACATACACCCAAGTCACTAAAGGTGCCCGGAGCGAAAAGTATTAACAGATCACGTCCAATGAACTCGAACGGACCTCGATGATGTTGTGGGAAAGCGAAGCGAAACAAAACAACACAATACAAAGCCGTAGCAGATACGCGCACTTGCAAAGGTGACACGGAAGAAACCAGTTTGATTGAATTCACAAATACGAGCCGGAACGAGGGCGAAGAGAAAAAGAAATCTGTCTGTTACTTGTTTGGAATAAAACAATGATCTGCCGACTAATGGGCTGACTGACTGGTTGACTGATCGACTGGTGTGGGGTGATAAATGTGACAAAGTAGTAGAAAGAATCACAGACAGCATGGGAACCGGTCAGTTGAATGGGTCAGTTCATCTGATTAGTTACAGTGGTGGATGTCGAGGAGGACGACGATCCCGTCGCCCGTGCAGAACTCAAGGGAATGACTTTCAGTTCACTACGCATGCACAGTATCTCACCCATAACAGTGCTGATCACAACAGAAAACACATTGGCAACCCACCAAAGTATGGATCGGGGAACAGTACGAGTGAAAAGTATACAAAAAATCAGATGCCAAAAATGCACTGTGCACGCGAAATCCAAGCATTGTTTTGTTCGCCGTACCAGGCGCCAGATTCCAAGCCCGGAACAGAGTGCAGTCAGTAGGAAAGAAACGAAAATGCACTTGCCAGAGGCCCGAGAGAATATCATCTCACTGCCATCAAAAAGCCAGGCGAGTTGGGGCCAGTCTCGTAAGAACGAGAGTGAGGACAAAGTGAGAAAGAGGCTGGCGCAAAAGTAGAACACACATTGCATACAGACAATCTGACTGCAAATCAGCAACGGGTCCCAGACACTGCTACGGAACTTGGGAGCCATAAAGTCCGTGCCCACGAGGTATGATTTCCCAAGGGTCCGGTAGCTGAACCCCCGCCAATTTCGCAGAAGGCATGCATGGAACAAAATAGGGAATAATGGAAATGATTATCACAGTTTGGATCGCGCATCGCACACAAACACTCGAGTAGTACCAAAAGAATAAAGATGGTAATAATGTTTCTTGAAATACTTCGTATGTCATATTATCATGTAACACCGTCGTCGGAGGAACTAAAAGATGAGAAATGGCGCAATTACTGGTCAGAAATTAGTGGCACCCAACTAGTCGGAGTCACGCAATGAAATGGGCCTCGCTCGAGACAGTGAATTAATTCTACAAGTTTCATCGGAAAAGAAACTGAATACGACGACCGAGTGATTTTTTTGATAAGCAGAAATCTACACCTTATCTAAATCTAGCAAGCTTGAATTTTCATCAAATATAAATAGATTAAGTCCAATGAATAAGATTTTGGTACCGGAAGCACTTCCATAACACGTCAGAAACACTGGCACACTCCAACTAATTTAAATAACACCCTCGACACTTAACAGATGATCACGGCGGCACTGGGTGGATCCAGATTCCGGCCTCACTCGAAGCGGCAAAACAATAAAGACCGTAATTTTTTCACCTTCGGAAACTACACCTCACCCGATGAGTGAATCTCAGATGAAGTGTCAACAAGCACAAGGAATGTTCCATTGGCGTTTCCCCTCATTTAAGACATATTTGACACCGCCACTATATCCGACTGTTTGTGAAGAGTGGAGCGAGTACTGTA